ATGCCATTACCTCACACCGCGACAAAACATCAAGCTTCAAGTCACATTCGTACAATTACATTCTCCTATTTCATTCATACACATATATTAACTTCATCTATTCCTCCTGTGGTTCACACAAACTGCCTGCAACCACATGTCAGCCTGCATATTGGCTCTCAGTGGCAAGCCAGAAATGAGACGAGTATGACACTTCTATCTCTGAAAGGAAAAACCATGGCCGAGGCAGCCAATGGGACTCTGATAAGAGTGAGACCGAGATGCTCTGGGTTTAGTGATAATGTACTCCTGTCATAACTGAGAAACCCGACTGACATCCGGATACCTTGAACTAAGCCGGCTAAATATAAAAGAGGGTCATTGCAGTGTTTTCACTGGACTCTGTGACACAATGAGCTGAACCGAAGTTACATTATTAACCCCCCCGAACCAGCACCTGAGGAGCACGAGCCACTGCTTTAAAATGCTCATGTGTGGTGCAGAGCATTTAAAGTCTATTTAGGCTGTTACAGTGCAGCGAGCAAGCGTGACTGACTGTTTGTGAGCTCCTTAAGTTGCTGCTGCAGAGTGATGGAGGCGTTGTATGTCCTGAAGACTTTTGCAGTCAGACCGGGCATTAGAGAACTCAGGTGTTTGTTCAGAACGCCGGTCTGCAACGAGAAACAGGAACAAGAAAGAAAACCACATTAGTCCAACTAAACCAACACATGCCGTCTACCACTAGGTGGCACTGTGGTAATGTGCCACTGCGGTGGCGAAGAATCTCCACCTTACAAATAAATCAAAATAAAATCTCTGACTTCATTAGCATCATCCATTAGATCAGGGAGAATAAAACAGATCATAATTCTATGTCTCACTGACATTTCTGTAGGTGTTATAACAAGTTAAAGTTGTATATAGCTAGTTTACATTCCCATTAACACCTGAGAAACGATAAAACAGATGAAACGGAGTTAACGGTGTGAGAGGACTCACTGGTGTTAAAGCAAAAACCATATGCTCATGCACACACGGCAGTTTCAGGTGCAAATATAGACTTGATGAGGAAGGCGTCACATGCATTTTGAATATGGATGAAAGCATTCAGATGTGAAGCAGAAGTAATTCTGATAAAGTCTATAATAATAATAATAATCAGGACCTACTGGGGCCACAGGCCTGTATCTCTGTGTCTCACTGCAGGCTGAGTGGGTGTTTTTCCACATATACATATAGTGTGCGTGTGCATGCATGTGCAGGTAGAAGCATCTGCTGCTGCGGCTGCCTTGCTAACGAGCTACCTAACTCTGGCCCTACGATGCTAATGAAGGAGTTTGCAAGTCTATGGGGCGAGTGCGATACCTCTCACACCCCCAACTCCCTCGGCATGGTGCGCTGTGTGTGTGTCATCCATGTCGTCTCCTAAGGCGTTATTAAAATGCGTCATTACCGCAGTTCTAATTTCCTATCTATAATACAGGATGCAACATACTGGACTTTCTCATTAACACACTGCTATCCAATTTGTTGTGATGGCTACTAATGCCAGGGAAATATCGACTATTGCCTTTCTACACTGCCTATGATGAGGTGCTTTTCATTTCTCACTGGGTCTAATTTGCGTGCATCGGTTCCTCGGCCAAAAAACAAAACCGGTTCCTACAGATGGGTAAATGATACAAAAGAGTGGAGGGAAAATGTACCGAATAAAGGAGCTCGTGAGGACCATAACACACTGCCGGTTGTAATTTAATTCATCTTTGTAAGATGTAGTTATTACAGCTAACCTGAGTGATGTGGAGTTCAGTAAAGAGGCTTCCAGAGAAGCTGAAAATACCTGCGATTTCAAAACAGATCAGACATCCAGACCTTAACATAATGTCTGTCTATATGTGTGTTTATCTGTGTGCATGCTCATAAAACCCACAATCACCTTAGCGAGGCATTCTGCAATCATATTGATGAGCATCAACTCTCTAAAATGTTATTCACTGAGACGCTCACGACACAAATGCTTAGAGATGTGTGAAATCTCAAAGCAGCATAAGAGGGAGCAGGCCAATGAAAAACCCTTCAGCTTCACCCTCCACAAAATTAACCTTTAAGTGAATACATTTAACTAAAATACTGAAATAAAGTATTTAAATTCATCTGCCCAGGATGTTTTGTCCTATTTGAGACTCTAGCTCTTCTTTCACCATCGATATGTGCAGCTTTTAAACAAATTCTCCAAATAATAAAATAATGAATGTGCTTTGTTAAAGGTTCATCAAGAAAAACAGCTGGTGGTGCAATTTCTACGGTCTGGTGCCGTTAAGCTAAGAGGGATCAACACGGAGAACAAATCGAACAAAGAAAGAAACACGATGGAAATACGGCAGCAATATTAGCATGATTTGAGGAACACGCACACGCTCCTTGAAATTCATCATGTTTTCATTTCATTGCTTGTTTTCGTTCTTCACTGATGTTTAACTCATAAGCCTCGTCTCCTGATTTCTTTCCTCCAGTCTGTGCAGCTGAGTGCAGACGCAGAAAAATAAACTTTCTGCTTTTCTAAAATTGAAAAAAAGCAGATAAAACAAGTTTAAATTGTGCCAGCAGGCTTCAACTAAGGCACAAAAAAGTACTTGTTGTTATCACGATCTGCACCATTCCTGCGATAGAAATCTTTTCACCCAGCCGTCTGCCGCAGCATTCAAAACAAACACTTTTACCTCGCCATGCGGCTGAACTACAACATTAACTAGCTTGTTTTGGGGACAACTCGGCACTCCTGAGTCTGTGTTTGAGAACACATCATTTAATCGACAAATGCAGCAGTTTCAATGCTCTTATTCTGCCCTTTTGTTTAGGCTGCGTGCTGTTATAATAGCATCAGTGTTGCAATAATGAACAGCAAACTTGTGAGCCAGGCTGATTTGTGTACATGTCAGAATCTCCCCCCTCCTTACATTTCTACCCATCTTCCATCCCCACTCTCCCTTTCTTCTCAGCTGCCTGTCACCTCTCCAAATTGCCCTCCCACCACCTTCCCCATCCTTTTTTCTCCCCATCATCCACCCTCTCTACTAAAGCACCCCTCAACTGGACCATTTGGCACTTTTCTACTGCTTCATCTACTACTACACACCTCTTCTGCCTCTGCTCTCTCGGTGTCCTGGCCTTTCCAGGTGTCAATCAGGCCTGCCCTCTGCAGCCATTACCGCTCCACCTCCAACAGACACTGACATTTCCTGACACACACAGGAGGGCAGAGAGCAGACGCACTGTACTCCCTCCTTCAATTGCTCCATCTTTCTCATCTCTTCCTCACATTCCTGTCCGGTGTTGCAACATCTTTCTCCTGCCTGTCAGTCTTAATATGCCAAACGCGTGACTGGCTCTCCAATCTTGCACATGAATCTTAATCTGCATTTTCTTCTGAACATATGCAAAGTCAGGTATTTTTCAGAAATCGGTTATTGTCTCAAACAGATGAGTGAGGTCGTTTGGAGAAAGCTCAATATTGCTGAACTCACCCTGTGTACAAGCAGAGCACTCTGTGAGGCTTTGCTGCCTGAAGCTAGAGAAGATTCAGAGGATGCCACATTTTGATGTGTGGAAATTCATCCGCCCAACATGTTCACTCTCGATTTTCACGCGCACAGTTTCATTTTTATCTGCCAGGGTCCATCCCCTCTCCCTTTTGAAACTCCCTTTCTGCTTTCAGCCTCCCCCCTGCTTCCAATATTCGAGCCCTTCTCTGCACCTCCCATTTCCTTAATTTAGCCCTTTCATCTCTCCACACCAACGGCTCATCCTCATTCAATCTCATCTCTTACACCTCACAATTTAGCCCCTACTTTCCCCCACTGCAGCTTTCTGTCCCTAGAAAATATAAAAAGTGTAATTCTACTTTGCTTCCACCATCTTTTTCTGTTTTTTTAAAATATTACTCGGGGGACGGGCTTTCCTCACCCTTTTTAAACAACCTCACACTCAAATCAAACCTCCTGCTTGCTTTTGACACTCAACAAAAACTCCCATGTTGTGACACAATAATAGCAATGATCATATAAAAGGTGCAACATGTCAGAGGAGATGCATGCTGAGACACACTCACGTTTAGGCGGTCAAAGAGTTCGTCTCCGGGCTGTTTATTCTCCAGAAAAAGTTTAAGACTCTTAAACACCTGAAAAAAGATGCAGGTAAAGTACATCAACATGTATAGAGAGAAATAATAACATTTAATACATCTGCACAGGTGCTGCACTCGATGTTTCTTGGGTTTATGTTTCAAAAAACTGATAAAATTTTAAAAAAAGCACAAACAGACAAATTCTCTGACAGGTCTAAAAATACCACAAAACTACAGGTACACAAACACATCAGAGTGCAACTGTGGGGCCTCGCTTTATTTGTCCATCTCAAAGCCAGAGGATTAAAACTGGCACAATTACATCTGACATTTCAAGCGACTCTGTGGGTTTCACAGATGCATCCTTTCCCCAAATAAACTACTAAAATATGCAAGACGCCAATTACGAGCCACAGATGTGTTGCCTCATAAAACACGCTGACATATTCACCGGCTGATTTGTGTGTCAATTTTGCTTCCTTTGAAAGACGAGCTGCAAATATAAAAAGTAAATCAGGATGTGTCTGTATGTATGCATCCACGTGTGTCCTCTGGGTTCTTTGACATACAGGACTTCCCTTTAAAATACTTGGTTGTTTATTCCAGTACTTTTTATTATGACTCAAAAAAATCGAGAAAAACTGTCAATGCAAAATGTACGGGATAAGTGAAATACATGATAGCATTCAATGTGTTGGGATGTCTCCAGATATTAGAACTAAACATTCCTCTCTTCCATTCTTGTTCCATTTTATTCCTGGTGACATTTAGCAGCAATCTTACTGATTTCCATGGGATTGATGATGCTAAAATATGCAGGGACTAATTAATTCGAGCTCATGTGATGCTTTTGAATGCACTCATTTGAATAATTATACGTTCTGCCAAGAAACAAAACACTTTGGCTGTCAGGTGCTAACATTTCTTTTCCCATTTCTGCAACAGATGATAGCACTGTCTGACACCAGAGGAGGAGTTAGAAATTTACATATGCATATATGCACGTGTGCGCACACAGACACACACAGACACA